AACCCTGAAGCTGGCTAAACACCCCAACGCCTACAGCCTGAACCCTACACCCTAAGCCTTACTAAACCCTCAACAACCCTAAACCCGAGACCTTTAAGAGTAGGGCTTAGGGGTTTAGAGATTTCGGGCTTAAGGTTTCCCTCAGTGAGAAGCTCAGTTAAAGCATCCAACACTCCTAAGCCCCGAAACCCCTAAACCCCCAAATCTTGAACTCTGAACTCTAGACTCCGAAACGAAACCCTAAACCCCTAAAGCCTTGACTCTAGACTCCCAAACTGAACCCTAAACCCCGGAAGCCTCAAACCCCAAACCCTAGACTCCCAAACTATACCCTAAACCCCTCAAGCCTATTATACCCGAAAACCCTAGACCCCCAAAGTGAACCCTAAACCCCTAAAGCCTTAAACCTTAAACCCTACACCCACAAACGTCTCAGAGGTGCCTTGCTCCCCCAACCACTGAAGCTTCAGCCCTAAACCCAAAACCCCTACCTAAACCCTCAAAAGTAGGTAACATAATGGCCCAAAACCTCTAAAAGGCTATTATTCTACATACTTTGGGGGTCCAGGTAAGCCCTAGGACCCTGCTACATCCCCACCCCCTCGCATCACCCCAAGCCTTTGCAGCCATGGGCCACGCCACGGGCAAGAGCAAGGGAAAGGGAAAGGGCAAGGGTCGAATCGGCCGAGGTGGCTCGGACAGAATGGCTTCACCCTAAAGGGTCCATGTGCATGATGCATAAGGGTTCTATAGAATAGAATGAAGGCTACTAAACGTTTTTTCGGCGCAGGTTTCGGGGTTCATGTAAATGTGCCTACATAGAACATACTTTGTTCCTAAAGTGTTTAAAGTGAGGAACACCTTTAAGCCTAAAGTGTGCACTAATGTGCATTATCTCGGAACATGGACCCTTCAGGGCATGATCTCGAGTCGGGACGGGGGAGGGGATACCACACATGTAATACAGGGGCCTTAATAAGTACCTATGCGCTTTTTTTTGTGAGGGGGGGGGGGTGGGTCTATACTATAATTTTAGTATTATATACCCCCCAAGCCCGATTCCAAGTATGAAGGCGCCGACATTTGAGGGGTTGGCGTCAGAGTTTGATATTCAGGGTTTTGCCCGCTTGGAGCTATGTGGTGAGGCTCTAGGGTGCTTGAAGATCCTGGCAGCTCGTGGCTGAAACCCTAAACCAGCCTTACCAATCTGCCTGTGAGAACCTTTGCAGTTCGGGAAACCTCAAGCTCTAAGCCCAGAACTAAGATCTGGCTGTAGTAATCCTATCCTATCTCCCACCCCACCCCACCCCCACCCATCTCACCCCACTCCGACCCCCACCCCCACCCTAAACCCTAAACCCTAGAGAGCAGAGAAATGACACGGACAGGTGACTCAAGTGCCTACCCTATCGCCCCAGTTGATGCCAAAATCCATAATGCAAGAGCCTTCGAGATTAGAATCGGGTTGTGGGGGTATATATATATATATATACACTATATTTAGAACAAGGAACCCCAAAGTAGTTTTGGTAATTATTCAGCCCCCTACATAAATCCACCAGAACTCGAGGTAAAGGCTTGGGCAAGGAGTGGCGTCGGTCAGCCGAGTTCGCGCGTGCCTCAGAAAGCCACGACTTTGACGTCTGGTTCGGGCTTCTGCATTTCAGTTGTCGAGCCTGTCCACCTCTACATTCGAGCCAGCGATAGTCGGATGTCGGCTTGAGGGTGACGTCCAAGTTCAAGAAGAGATCATGGTGCTTTGACGGAGTGTCTCTGTGTCTGTGTGTGTGGTGTGTGTGTGTGTGTGTGTCTAACTCCTGATCTCAGTGCCGTATGCTGTGTGACTGAAATTCAGTCTGAAGCCATGAACTGGAGCTCTCCAAGATCTTATACAATGTAAGTCGTATTGTTGATTTCTCGTACAGTGTAATGAGCCAGGAGATCATACATCCATATACAGCTCCCTATGTATATCTAGAGGTTTGTTTGTGCACGTGTCTGTGCGTGTGTGTGCGTGTCTGAGCATAAATCCCAGTCTTGAGTCTGTATGTGCCCCAACATCAAGTGGAGTAGGGCATGCCATCCAGCAAGGCGATGTTGGTGTTAAGGGTTCTGCCGGCCGGTTTTCAAAGACTCTTTCGAGGGTTTATAGAAAATAAGGTCACAGTATACATGCATAAGCCACTACTACTACTACTACTACCACCACCACCACCACCACCACCATCACGACGA